AGTTACTTTTAATTACAGTCTTAAGAAGCATGCTACCTACCTTTGAGCTACTAGGTCAGAATCCAATGTAAATTGCCTGCTACGAAACCTGAATTTCCTGGTGATGTCATTAGTGCACATCGTTAAGAAATTCCACACCAGGACAAAACAGCCTTACAGTGTTCCTAAGCTTCAAATAGTTCTATAATCGATGTCGGTCCGTGATATATAATTCTAAACAGTATGGATGATCCTGTTGTTGCTTGTATTGTCCCATCGTTGAGTGTATCGAATTGATCGGTCTCTGTTGACATGTAGGCTCCTGTGTGGATAGTCTGAAATTACCTGTGTTTGAACTAGGGGCCAAGGACATCCAGCTGACAGGTATTAAATGTGACGAAATGCTCGTCATGAATTCCACTACTGGCTACTATCCATCATTAGTATGTATGATACAGTTATGGAATTTTCAGCATGTTTTATCCCAACAAATCCACTCCAAGAACAACATTTCCCAGCGAAATGATTATTCTGTCCGAGTGATGGCGTAAATGATAACATTTCATCCCATTTGGGACTCGTCAGCTGGATGTACCTGCTTCCCAGTGAGTGATATTGTTCCCACCGGGATTCGGACTCGAGAACGATCGCTTCAAACGCCAGAGCGTGGCTGGATGGTGTGGTGGATAACTCTCTGGCGTTTGAAGAGATCGCTCTCGAGTTCGAATCCCGGTGGGAACAATATTACTCACTGGGAGGTAGGTACACCCAGCTGACTGATGAGTCCCAAATAAGACGAAATGCGCATCCTGGATTCCATTGCTAGCCATTGCCCATCATTACTGTAAATAATAACAATATTAAATGCTATCAAGTGCAACAACCAGCTAATGTTGAACTAGCCACCCTGTCTAGAATGGAAAGTGAACAGAATAGTAGGCATAAGTTTGGTGTTGTTGTTGTTGTTGTTGTTGTTGTTGTTGGTGGTGGTGGTGGTGGTGGTACAACAATCTGCGATTCAAACTAAGTAACCCAGGAATAGAAATATGATGCATTTCTACGCACTGAAAAGTTTCTTTTCATCTAAAGTGACAATTTTTCTTTGTTCTACGATTAACTCGAGAATCGGTTAGCTGAATGCATTTTCAAAAATGTGCTAGAGTACACGATGGGTTCAGAAGATGTATTTTAATGACTGAAAGAAACTGAATCAAACGAATTTTATGTATATACTCAGTGGAGAACTTTGGTTGAGTAAGTTTTAAGCAGGGCACCGTGTAGCTAGTAAGATCTGCGGTTCTAGATATTGTAATAATGAAAACCTAACGTCTCATATTATTTGTCATTATAATTGGGACTTTGTTTTGGAAATACAACTTCAGCATTACACAAGGTCAATTTTTTATCATTGAAAGTTTAACTGATGTATTTACTACTTGATGTCCTGTACTGGATGAAAATATCATAATTGATTACTCTCTCTTTCTCTCTGTCCCATCAAGTTGTCTGTCTCACACTTCTGACATGTATCCCATGGTATATTATTATTATTATTTTTCCCTTGGGTTCCTAGTTGAACATATGGCTTCAGTAGCATGTCTCCAGTACACTTTCTTCTCTCCAATCTTTTAAACTTGACTCCACCACTGCCCATAAGCTCTCATTTCTTCATCACACGATCTCCTCCTTGTCACCCTCACATCAGTAGCCCAACTCGTCGCTTCCCATGAGGGTTCCACTTGAGAGCCCAGCCTGATGCGTGATGTCCTCAGTCGGCCTTCTCACTGCATACCCAATCCATCTCCACTTCCCTCCAGTGCATATTTGTTGAGTTAAAGGTTCTTGCTTCGTTAGTTCGTTGACAGCCAACCAGAGTTTCTCCTTGCTTATTCCTTCTGGCCATCTTAGCTTCAGTAACGATCCAGAGTAGGCAGTTGTTGATGAATATCTGTAGATTGTTGGAAATGCCTTTCGTAACACGCCAAGTCTCTCAACCATAAACAAGCACTGACATGACTGAATTGGTGTTGAAAATCCCGATGTTGTTTCACATGCTGAGTGCAGAAGATCTCCTTGTCTGTGCCGCCTGTATTTGAAATAGTGCTGCCTAGATAGGTGTAGGTGAAAGAGGCTACTTTTTACAAGATCTTTCCGTTGATGGTGATCGGTATTCCATTGTAATGGTATAATATTCTCCAATCTTTTAACCTTGTTCTCGGATGATTCATCAGCAGACTGTGTGACTTCATCAGCACTTATTTCATAGGTAAAGAAGTCAAAGAGAATATAATTAAGGTAAATGAAAGAAAATATTCCTTATCAAACTTTATTAGGTCTTGTTTACTACTGATAGCCAATAATTATTTGATTTGAGTCGAAGCGGTGATTCCTTGAAAATTTCACCTATTAACTGGTAATACTATTCACCGTAGTGAAGTCCAAATCATATAGCTGAGAAGAGTAACAGTATTTTCCTTTTGTCCGCTTTTTGTGGACAAGAATTAGTTTTCCAACGTGTCACAACTTAACAAGATCGACTCGTTATCATATCATAAATTATGATTATCAAATCTCCTTATTACTAGTATAAGGAAAGATACAAAAGTATTCTGAATAGGCTTCATTGACGACGTTCAGCCACTCGATGAAGTCATGATATGAAAATTTAAGGTCCGAAATAGTCAATTTGATTGACTTTTTCGGATTACATATGAATTTGGTCACTGATACTTGCTATACTGGATCGAATTACGCAATCTCCGTTTGCACATAAGCATCTATGTGGATGTCAATTAAGTTATAGTGTACCTTGTGGTTAGTAGTGGAGTCCAGTACGTGTATTTCCTTCCATTTAAGACTAGTAGGTAAAATTTTGGCCTTTAGAGCAATGGTTAATGAGTTTGAGTCCCACTGGCAACACCATTACTCACTGAAGTGTAGATATATCTGTTCAGTGAGTCCTAAAAAGGACAAAATGCGCTTCTTCAGTTTGACTCCTAGCCACCAAGCACACTACACTGCACAACCACGGTTTGTCAGACTGGTATTGCTGATACAGATTATGACTGAACGTGAAAGTTAGGTGGTGGTAGAATTCGATCTAGTAACTTCTAGATAACCATGTTGTCGCTCTGCTAAAAACTCTTCAGAAGTTATATCTCTTAGCTGAGTCGGTACAGCATCAGTTCGATAATCCTGAAGTAACTGATTCCAATCTTATGGTATCCTACTTTCGATCATTACCCGTATTACCGATGAAGCTGTCAGAAATGAAGAACAAAAGCAGAGCAGCAGTCAAGTGAAAATAAAAGGTTAAGCATTAAACAGAAGTGTACCATGTTGAGTTTCAAAACCGGATTACCAATATGCTGCGCAGCTGCACCAGTATTATGTTAAAGTTCAGATAAGGAACTAAATGTTACAGACTAGTCCATACATTTGATTCGAGGATGATTGCTTATTCATTTTTCAAAAACTTTGTAAATACTATGATCCCAAGGAATAAACATTACGTAGGAGGTTGTAGTCAAGAATGTCTGTAGCGTGTAAAACTGGATCGCTTCCCTGAAATCTACGTCAAACAGACACTTTTGTATCTGTATGAATGTACGTGTTTTTAAAATAAATTAACATTAACTACCTTTGAGAAAAGGCAGTGGTGAATTCTAATGATACCCCTTTTAAAAGATGACATTATTACTATTATTTGTCCCTTGGGTTCCCAGTGGAACATAGAGATTAAGTAGTACATCATCACTTCACTATCTTCTGTCCGGTCTTTTCAATCTGGCTCCACCATTACCCACAAGCTCCCACTTCCTCCTCGCACGATCTCCTCCATGTCACCCTTGGACACCCAACTTGCTGTTTCCCATTAGGCTTCCGCCTGACGGCCTGGCCTAGTGCGTGATGTCACCAAACCGTCCTTCAGTCTATGTTCAACCCAATCCAGTCCATCTCCATCTACACTTTATTCCACTACATATTTGTTGGGTGACAGATTCTCGCTTCGTTAGTTGCTTCGTTGCCAGGCCATACTTCATCCTTGCTCACTCTTTCTCACCATCCCGTCTCATCTTCAGTATCGAGTGAACGTAGGCGGCAGTTGTTGATGAATATCTGTAGTTTGTTGGAAGTGATTTTCGTGATACACCAAGTCTTTGAATGAACCATATAGCAGCACTGACTTGACTGAATTGGTGTTGGAAATCGGGATGTTGTTGACGCTTTATGCTGAGTGGAGTGCAGTAGATCTGCACACTGATTTCAGAATAATGCAGGAAGGCGTGTTTTGCTGTGATACCAATGTTGGCTTTGATGTCCTTATCTGTGCCTTCTCCGTGTGTAGTTGAAACTATGCTGTCTCGTAGGTAGGTGGATCAAAGAGACTACTTCCTTTAGGTTTCTCCCGTTAAAGGAAGTAGCAGTAAAAGAAAAATGAAGGCTTCACTGACAAGTTTTTGAAGAGTCATTTTAATGAACTTAAGATTTTTATTTTAAAAATGATATGAGATGATAATTGTCAGGAGGTCGAGGACGTATGTTCCATGCTGATTAGCATTCACTGGTAAGACGTAATTGTAGTCTTTAGGAAACTGATGTTTTCTTGATGGTATAAACATGTGTCAGTTTGTAGTAAAGTTACAGACTTCACCGTTGAGCCAAGATCTCAACTGATCCTTTGGAGAATTTCTGTATGTTGAAGAATGGATTTCTGGATGGTAAGTTTTAAGTATTCAACACTTACTCATTTCATAATTGTTTTTGTAACTGAGGTAACCGAAGATTTTCGACTTCTGATAAATTGTTGTTTCTTCCATGTCGTTGTGATTGTTGACGCCGACCGATTAGCTGCATATGTCTAGATGTTTCTTCAACGCTTGTGATAGCTGTTGCAATGATGTTGCTTTATTGAAATATCGATGCACATGTTTACAACATTTTCTCTAGTTATATTACATCACTGAATGTTGTGTTCTCTTCTTTCTCCTTTTTCCCTTTTTCTTTTCCTTTATATCAAGATATTGTTTTATGTGGATTACATGAAAAACGTCTATTGAAGTATTTGTTCGATTCCAGTCGACCAGATGCACACAATCCAATTGAACGTCCATCGGCTAATGATACAGAAACACTGAATGTTAGTGTAAAATTCTTTCTGAATCAAGTTATGGATGTGGTAAGCGTACAGTTAATCTATTTCTCTTGACTAAAGTCTCTACTGTTCATTACTTTTTTGATCGATTATAATATACTCGATTAAATAAGTGTAACTCTGACAGTCAATGAAACAAGCTAACAGGGAGTTTAATTTGAACTTAACACAAACTTGTATCACTAATGAACTCAAATTAGTAGACTCTAAGCTACCTGCCAATCGTTTGTTCTCCCAGTTCATGTAGGGAAGAGGGTATCCCGCTGTCAAATAAAAAATAAAATTTTATTCTACATTGATAATTAAATTGTGCACAGAATTACATATGTTCTAGGAAATCGAGCAAATGATATGAAGCCTTTGGTCCGCTATTTAAGTAAACTGAGTTGAACATCTGTAGGATACTATAACAAACACAACAATATCATGAAGTTAATTTCATAAGAAGTCTCTTTATTCTATAGGAAATCACTCAGTCATAAATCGATGTTTTATGGGCATATCGTATGCTGCTGGATCATGCAGCAAACAAAGAGGAGCAAGAAGAAGGGCATACGTTGGCTGTCTGACAGACGAAAAGATCCCAGAAGAAGATTTGAATTTCGCCAATGCTGATTTATCTATAATGTTGCACAAACTCGAAGATGTACTGGCGAAAACTAACGAGTCGATCGAAAAGGCAGCGAAAACGGGACTTCAAGTGGATGTAGAGAAGACGGAGGTGATGAAGTTATCCAACCAACAACAGCATCAATAGCAAGCACCAATCACCGCGAAAGGGAGAAACTTAAAGGAAGTAGTCTCTTTGACCCACCTACCTACGAGACAGCTTCGTTTCAACTACACACGGAGAAGGCACAGATAAGGACGTCAAAGCCAACATTGGTATCACAGCAAAACACGCCTTCCTGCATTATTCTGAAATCAGTGTGCAGATCTACTGCACTCCACTCAGCATAAAGCGTCAACAACATCCCGATTTCCAACACCAATTCAGTCAAGTCAGTGCTGCTATATGGTTCATTCAAAGACTTGGTGTATCACGAAAATCACTTCCAACAAACTACAGATATTCATCAACAACTGCCGCCTACGTTCACTCGATACTGAAGATGAGATGAGATGGTGAGAAAGGATGAGCAAGGATGAAGTATGGCCTGTCAACGAAGTAACTAACGAAGCGAGAATCTGTCACCCAACAAATATGTAGTGGAATAAAGTGTAGATGGAGATGGACTGGATTGGGTTGAACATAGACTGAGAGGACGGTTTGGAGACGTCACACCCTAATCCTAGGGATGATAACTTCTGAAGCTGGTCTCGAAGATAGACCGTATGTATAACCACTAACCTCTCAACAAAAATATTGTTATAACTTAGTTGTTGGGTGTACATCACTCTCATGTTAAAGATAAAGGCTACTGCCTTTATGTTTCAGTTTCAGGAAAGGCATATCTAGGTGGAGAAATAACCGGCTAATGAGTTTCTTCTGGAACAAAACATCGTTCACAGTGCAGTTGAAGACATAATTCCAACCTTCTTAAAGGTATTTAGAGAGAGAAATTTATTCGCCTTAATTATACAATATCGGGAATCCATACTGACTTCTATGAAGTAACGAAAAGCATAGTTTTGACATTTGGTAACTTCTCATTAGAACCAGATATTGGTTGACTCAAGGTCCTCAAAATATAATAAATAACTAGTGAATTTATAAAAATTGGTTACTTTGATGTTAGATATACTCCAGATACTAAGATTAAGATAAGATAGTATAACAGAAGTTTTGAGCTTTTCTATTACTTATGTTTCGTTTCTCAAGTATACTAGAAGATTACAAAATGTTTGAGTGAAAGGGTTGCTCCAATTCAACATGTTTCAAGTATGAAGCATATCTCCCTACTACCTACTTACAATATCTAACGTAATAGTACAAGTGTATAACATATGCAATGTGTTAGAATGTAATTCTATATATTACATTTGCTTATTTGATTTATAACATACAGCGAGTGAGTGAGTGATGGTTCTGAGGTCCAGTGTGGTAAAGATATTACAATTGTTTATCTGGTCAAGATGGTTTTCAACGTAAAACTAATTTTATTCTTATGTTGGAAAGTAAGAGAGTGATTCAGGACTGCATAGTGTCAAAGTTAACACTTTAGTGTGGTTATGATTAACAGATCATGCATCAAAGATGCTTGATCATTAAATCAATTGTCATTAGATATGAGGGCAAAATCTAGTCATTCATTCTATGCATATGATGAAGCTGTGATTCATCAGTAGAGACCCTTCCTTGCCTTTCAATCAGTGAATCACAGATTCAAACGTGGATATCACAAGTGATGTCTAGGCAGCCTTAACACAATCGTTGCCTACTGAACAGGTGTGTAAGTAGTCCCTGAATGTATTTCGATTCCACTTCATAATGTAGACTCCTTTAAGCATAGTCTAATGACAAATAAATCCTATTCTTGTTATTATTCCTAAAGCTGTCTGGGAGAAAGATATGAAGTATATTCTTCATTCCTAATGTATACTTTCAAAGTGTAGGTGAGTTTTGAAAAAATGGAGAAACAAGTAGGTTACATATTCCATATTAGATTTGTTTATTTGATTGATAACATACATTGAGTGAGTGAGTGAGTGACTGAGTGATACAGTATTATCTACTTGATGACAATGTTTCCAGCATAAATTATTACCGCTTATCATCATATCTCAATGTCTAATCACACACTACTTTCCATGTCTGATTTCTATTATCCTATCAACCCTTATTCCTTGTTTGCATTCACAGTAAACATTTTTCATATCTCTGCTACATGTGTTACATCATCACTCCTATTACATGTGTTGGGTGTTAGTTGGTTGATTCAATGATCGAAGATTCAGTAGTCAATCTCTCTCATCACCTTATTCTGTTGTTTGACTCAAGTACAGTGGCTTTATCTCACCCACAAGCAATGCAATAACTGAGTTTTTTCTACATTACTGATCTGACTCAGGTCTGTTATTCGATATTCAGCTAAATTCTAATATACCCATTTATTCATTAACAAGAACAAGGCATGTATGTATCAGCGAAGAAATATTTCTTTTCAACGACTTGAAATATTTCTTCTCTGATGCATGCCTTGTTCTTCTTAATAAATTCTAATATTCAGCTATTCTAACTGACCCCGACCAGATAGTTTGACCTATCTACTTGACCTGACCTCACAGTCATTACATGGAATTTGATAGATTAGATTATTTTGCCTAAGTGACTCTATCGGATCCACCTTAAGCCAGTCGACAAAGCTTATCTGTAAGTGAGTTTGTAGGTTTAAATGTCACCATAACTAATTCCAGCAATAATATAAGAGTAAACCTTATGCCCTGTGGTAGAGTGTAATTCCATTTTTATTAATTTATTAGATTTATCATACAGTGAAGAAACAGTATTGTTTACTGGATCACGTTTCCCACATAATTTATGTTGTCCATAGTCATCATATCAAGATAACTACACAACTTTCAGATATCCTTCATATAATCCTAATTTCCTCCTCTCTTTGTCAGATGGCTAGTAAGATTTTCGATATATCCGGAACAGGTACTGAGTCATTCCTGTTGTTGTATGTGTTAGGTGTTGGTTGATTCAATAATCAAAGATCCAGTCAGTTATCAATCTCTCCCTCCCTCCACCCTGTTATGTCAGTTTTAAGAATTTTCACCCTGTCCCATCCTATTGTGTAGTTGTGTCTAATTGCATGCATAGGTATGACTGAGCCTCCCTTTTCTAAATTCCTTATCTTACTAGGATCAATCAATGTTGACCAAGATGGGTTTTTGTGTTCGGATAGCCTAACTGATCCTGGTCGACTAGTTTAACTGATCTATGTATTCGACCTCACAATCGTTGTAAGGGATTTGGTAAACTAAGTTATTCGGCTTAATTGAGTCGATGGGATCTTCTAACCTACAGAGCTTATTTCAAAGTGAGTTTGTAGGTTTCAGTGCCACTATAATCCCATTCACCCAGCCTTATTGAGAATTCTACGTAGTGTTTCTCAGGTGTCTTCTTTGTATGGTAATACTGTAGTGGATTTGAATTCTCTATTCACAGTATTGCCACTACTATTATTAACATAATTATCAACATTATTTTTACTATTATTGTTACTGTTATTACCATTATTATTACTACTAATAATAATAACTGTGTTATTGATATTTTTCCTACAATTTCTAAGGAGCATATCAATTAATCTGGGAGGGTAATTCTTGATAATTAAGGTGTCTTTAATGTATCTGGTTTGTTGTTTTAGATCCTCTGTCTTATGGCTCACTCATCACTCACTCACTCACTCACTCACTCACTCACTCAATGTATGTTATCAATCAAATAAACAAATCTAATATGGAATATGTAACCTACTTGTTTCAACATTTTTTCAAAACTCACCTACACTTTGAAAGTATACATTAGGAATGAAGAATATACTTCATATCTTTCTCCCAGACAGCTTTAGGAATAATAACAAGAATAGGATTTATTTGTCATTAGACTATGCTTAAAGGAGTCTACATTATGAAGTGGAATCGAAATACATTCAGGGACTACTTACACACCTGTTCAGTAGGCAACGATTGTGTTAAGGCTGCCTAGACATCACTTGTGGTATCCATGTTTGAATCTGTGATTCACTGATTGAAAGGCAAGGAAGGGTCTCTACTGATGAGTCACAGCTTCATCATATGCATAGAATGAATGACTAGATTTTGCCCTCATATCTAATGACAATTGATTTAATGATCAAGCATCTTTGATGCATGATCTGTTAATCATAACCACACTAAACTGTTAACTTTGACACTTTGCAGTCCTGAATCACTCTCTTACTTTCCAACATAAGAATAAAATTAGTTTTACGTTGAAAACCATCTTGACCAGATAAACAATTGTAATATCTTTACCACGCTGGACCGCGGAAAAGAACCTAGAAGATTTGGATGTCGCCGATGATTATTTATGT